GGGGTGTTTTTGGGGGGGTTTTGGGGGTGTTTTGGGGTGTTTTCGGGGTGTTTTGGGGGTGTTTTTGGGGGTGTTTTTGGGGTGTTTTTGAGGTGTTTTTGGGGTGTTTTTGGGGGTGTTTTTGGGGCGTCTTTGGGGTGTTTTTGGGGTGTTTCTGGGGCTCTCACCGCGGCTCTGAGGCTCCAGCTCCAGCAGCTCCCGGCACATCTGCACCTGATCCTGCAGCACCTGAGCCTCGGCCACGCCCAGCTCCGGCCTGGGGGCGGGGCCAAAGGGTGAGAAAGGGGCGGGGCTTGGGCACAAAGGGGCGGGGCTTAACCACGCAGGGGCGTGGCTTCAATAAGGGGCGTGGTTTAACTGTAAATGGGCGTGGTTTAACCTCATGCGGGATGACTGGCAGCTGCAGGTGGGAGTGGCTTAAAGAAAAAGGGGCGTGGCTTGAGGCCAATAGGAATAAAGGTCAGTTCCTGGTGGGCGTGGCTTAAAGAAAAGGGGGCGTGGCTTTGCCCAATGGGCGTGGCTTGAGCCCCATAGGAACGAATGGCAGCTCTATGTGGGCGTGGCTTAAGGATAAGTGGGTGTGGTTTGAGGAAAAGGGGCGTGGCTTCCCCAAAAAGGGGCGTGGCTCACCAGAAAAGCTCCCGCTCTACAATTGGCTCCTGCCAGCAAGCCTGAGCCTCACCTGGGAGAGAGAAAAGGGGCGTGGCCAGGTGAGGAAAGGGCGTGGCCGGGAGTGGGCGGGGTCAGAGGGGGGCGTGGCCTCACCTGGCAGCAGCCTGACGTCACGGGGGGTGGAGTCAGGAGCCCAGGTGACCTCCAGGTGGGCGGGGTGATCGCTGGGTAGGGCAGGGAGGGCACAGAGCTGATGTCACCTGTCAAGGTGTGCCCGGGGATGGCCACGCCCACCCCTCCGCACCACGCCCACCCCTCTGAGCCACGCCCACCCCCAGCCACGCCCTCCTGTATTTTTAGGGCAAGGATACCCAGGTGTGGCTGGGGCGTGGCCGCCCCTCCCCCGAGCGCCAGGGCTCGGTCAGGGCAGAGCCGTCCAGAGTCGCCGTCAGCTCCGGGCACTCCGGGTTCACCTGTGGGAGGGGAGAAAAGATGCAAATTTAGGGGATTTTCCCACCAAAAACTGGGAATTTCCAGCCTCAAAATTGGCTTTTTTAGCCCCAAAACATTTCGGGACATCAGGTCTACCCATTGAAGTCAATGGGGATTGAGGGACACCAGGTCTACCCATTGAAGTCAATGGGGATTGAGGGACACCAGGTCTACCCATTGAAGTCAATGGGATAAATGGGACATCAGGTCTACCCATTGAAAGCAATGGGATAAATGGGACACCAGGTCTACCCATCAAAGCAATGGCAATTCCAGAGCAGAAGTTTGGGGGGGATCCAAAGGATTTTTTTGGGGGTACCCCGGGGTTTTGGGGATTTCAGGTGTCTGAGGGGTACCCAGGTGTATCCAGGTGATTTTGGGGGGTACCCAGGTGTATCCAGGTGGTTTTTGGGGTTCCCAGGGGTCCCCACTCACCCTGACAGGCCGGGAGAAGATGACGGCCACCGTCGCGTCCTCTCGGTCGATGTGGACACAGATGACCCTCGGCGGCGGGGGGGCTGTCGGGGGACACCCCAACATTCAGGGGGGGCACCCCAAAACTCCAGCTGAGGGCCCCAGGGCTGGGAGGGAGCCCCGAGTTACCTCGGGAGAGGATGCAGCGCAGGTACACCCAGGCGCTTTGGTCCGTGGGGTCGGTGAAGACGGCGTTCTGCACCAGCTCCAGCTCTGGGGGGGGGAAAAAAGGGGCACCCCAAAATCTCAGGGGGGCACCCAGGTGTGCAGGAGTTCAAGTCCACCCCAGGAAAGGCAGTGGGGGTTTTAGGGACACCAAATCTACCCGTTAAAACCAATGGGCATTGAGGGGCATCAGGTACACCCATTGAAACAAATGGGGAATGCTTGGACACCAGGTCTACCCCCATTAAAACCAATGGGAACTGTAGGGACACCAGGTCTACCCATGGAAACCAATGGGAATTCTTGGGACAGCAGGTCTACCCATTGAAACCAATGGGAATCATGGGGACACCAAGTCTACCCATTAAAGTCAATGGGAATTTCAGGACACCAGGTCTACCCATTAAAGTCAATGGGAATTTCAGGACACCAGGTCTACCCATTGAAAACAAAGGGAATTTTAGGACACCAGGTCTACCCATTGAATTCAATGGGAACTTTGGGACATCAGGTCTACCTATTGAAAACAAGGGGAATTTTGGGACACCAGGTCTACCCGTTGAAATCAATGGGGTTTTAGGGACACCAGGTCTACCCATTGAATTCAATGGGAAAAATGGGACACCAGGTCTACCCATTGAAACCAATAGGAATTTCGGGACACCAGGTCTACCCATTGAAAACAAAGGGAATTTTAGGACACCAGGTCTACCCATTGAATTCAATGGGAACTTTGGGACATCAGGTCTACCTATTGAAAACAAGGGGAATTTTGGGACACCAGGTCTACCCATTGAAATCAATAGGAATTTGAGGACACCAGGTCTACCCATTGAAATCAATGGGGTTTTAGGGACACCAGGTCTACCCATTGAATTCAATGGGAAAAATGGGACACCAGGTCTACCCATTGAAACCAATAGGAATTTCGGGACACCAGGTCTACCCATTGAAATCAATGGGAATTTCAGGATACCAGGTCTACCTATTGAAGTCAATAGGATAAACGGGACACCACGTCTACTCATTGAAACCAATAGGAATTTCGGGACACCAGGTCTACCCATTGAAACCAATAGGAATTTTAGGACACCAGGTCTACCCATTGAAGTCAAAAGGACAAGCGGGACACCAGGTCTACCCATTGAAACCAATAGGAATTTTAGGACACCAGGTCTACCCATTGAAGTGACTGGGATAAAAAGGACACCAGGTCTACCCATTGAAGTCAATGGGAACTCAAGGACACCAAGTCTACCCATTGAAATCAATAGGAATTTGAGGACACCAGGTCTACCCATTGAAGTGAATGGGAACTCAAGGACACCAAGGTCTACCCATTGAAATCAATGGGGTTTTAGGGACACCAGGTCTACCCATTGAATTCAATGGGAAAAATGGGACACCAGGTCTACCCATTGAAGTCAAAAGGACAAGCGGGACACCAGGTCTACCCATTGAAACCAGTAGGAATTTCGGGACACCAGGTCTACCCATTGAACCCAATAGGAATTTCGCGACACCAGGTCTACCCATTGAATTCAATGGGAAAAATGGGACACCAGGTGTACCCATTGAAACCAAGGGGAATTTCAGGACACCAGGTCTACCCATTAAAGTCAATAGGATAAACGGGACACCAGGTCTACCCATTGGAAACCGCCAGCACCCCACGGCCCGCATTCCAAACTTTCCGGGACTACCTGGGAACGGCGGGAATTTTCCCCGGGAATCTCTCACCTTCCCTGAGCTTTGCGGGCGGCAGCGCCCCGGCCCCGGCGCCGCCGCGCTCCCTGGCGGGCGCCAGCAGCCGCAGCCGCTGGTGCCAGGCAGAGAAGTTGGAGAAGTCGCGGCTCAGGAGGCTCCCGGTGAAGGCGAGCTCGGCCTCGGGGTCACGAGCCACGGCCCGCCGGTGATCCCAGGCGTGGACTGCGGGGGCAGCACAGACCAGTATAGACCAGTATGGACCAGTATAAACCAGTATGGACCAGTATGGACCGCTACGGACCGGTAGGGACCGGTACGGAACGGTACGGAACGGTATGGACCAGTATGGACCAGTATGGACCGCTACGGACCGGTATGGATCAGTACGGACCAGTATGGACCGGTACGGACCGGTATGGAACAGTACGGACCGGTACGGACCGGTACGGACCAGTATGGACCAGTATGGACCAGTATGGACCAGTATGGACCAGTATGGAATGGTATGGAACGGTATAAACCAGTATGGACCGGTATGGACCATTATAAACCAGTATAAACCAGTATAAACCGGTATGGACCAGTGTGGACTGGTATGGAATGGTATGGAACGTTATGGACCAGTATAAACAAGCATGGACCAGTATGGACCAGTATGGACTGGTATGGAACGGTATGGAACGGTATGGACCAGTATGAACCAGTATAAACCGGTATAGACCGGTATAAGCTGGTATGGACCAGTATGGACCAGTATGGACCAGTATGGACCAGTATAAACCAGTATAAACCAGTACGGACCAGTATGGACCAGTATAAAGCAGTATAAACCAGTATGGACCAGTATGGACCGGTATGGACCAGTATAAACCAGTATGGACCAGTATGGACCAGTACGGACCAGCATAAACCAGTATGGACCAGTATAAACCAGTATGGACCAGCATAAACCAGTATGGACCAGTATGGACCAGCATAAACCAGTATGGACTGTTTCTGGAGGTTTGGGGGGGATCTGGGGCCAGTTTTGGGGTGAATTCTGGAGATTTTGGGGGATTTGGGGTTGAATTTGGGGAATTTTGGGCAATTTTGGGGTATCCAGGTCAGATTTTTTGGGAATTCTGGGATATTGGGGATGGGATTTTGGGAATTCTGGGGGTTTTGAGGGGATCTGGGGACGATTTTGGGGTGAATTCTGGAGATTTTGGGGAATTTTGGGATACTTGGAGTAGATTTTTGGGAATTCTGGGAGTTTTGAAGGGATCTGGGGCCGATTTTGGGGCGAATTCCCGGGATTTTACCTTGAATTTCCACCATTTAAACCCAGTTCTCTTTACCACCCAACCCACCCACCCCAAACCAGTCCAAACCAGTATAAACCAGTCCAAACCAGTAGGAACACTCACAGTTGCGCGAGTCGGCCGCCAGGAGGCGCTCGCACAGCGCCAGGTCCTCCCGGCCAGCAGGGGGCGCCGCGGCGCGCGCCAGCACCCAGCTCCGGTGGTGCCACGCCCCGTAGGATTTGGGGTTCACCCCCAGGCACTGCCCCACGAACGCCAGCTCCGAGGGCACCCTGAAACCAGTATGGACCAGTATAAACCAGTATAGACCAGTATGGACCGGTATGGGCGGGAAAAAGCAGTAAAAAAATGTAAAAAATGGTAAAAACCAGTATAAACCAGTAAAAACCAGTATAAACCAGTGTAAATCATACTGGTAGAGAGAGTTATAAACCAGTATAAACCAGTATAAACCAGTATAAACCAGTATTAACCAGTGTAAATCATAGTGGTAGAGAGTGTTATAAACCAGTATGAACCAGTATGGACCAGTATGAACCAGTATGGACCAGTATGGACCAGTATGGACCAGTATAAACCAGAATGGACCAGTATGGACTGGTGTGAGTGGTAAAGAGCAGGAAAAACCAGTAAAAACCAGTAAAAACCAGTAAAAACCAGTATAAATCATAGTGGTAGAGAGAGTTAAAAACCAGTATAAACCAGTATGGACCAGTGTGAGTGGTAAAAAGCAGTAAAAACCAGTAAAAAATGGTAAAAAACAGTAGAAACCAGTAGAAACCAGTAGAAACCAGTATGGACCAGTATGGACCAGTATGGACCAGTATGGACCGGTGTGGGTGGGAAAAAGTAGGAAAAAAAGGTAAAAACCAGTAAAAA